TGCACAGCTTCAATACTTATCGTACGTGTCTAAATAAAGGTTTTACTTACTTATTTACTTACTAGCCTAAACCGGCTTTTAAACCTGGACGTGCCGTTTATAGCGGGCCAAGATAGATAATTAGAGGAATTAAAATACAAGGATAAAGCTTTAAGATGACGTACATTATGATTTGTTAGTATAAATGGCAGACCTTTTCATAGGCCACTGAAGTTGACCTCTATTTTACCTTCGCGAAAGAGACGCGAAGTACTTAATTTCAACAGGTCACTATTCAGACTTAACGTAACAACATAACAAGAAATTAACATTTTCTAGGAGATGAAAGGACCATCTGCTAGCATACAAAATTTAAAAGCGGGATTGCGTCGCGTTGTAGCGTACGAAGTTGCCAAAGTTGCATAATTTTTCATTGCTTTAAGGGGGAGACAACGGCCACTTAGGCGTATTTTGAGCTTTTCGATTTTTCAAGAAGTTTTTGATATAATTTTCGAAGAAAGTTCATTAAAAGGGTCATCTACAAAAAATAAAATGAATTACGAAATTTTGCAACTGTCCGCGGATTCTCGATATTTATGGTCAGTGGCTCTCAAGCTTTAATAAGATGTTTGTTATCTGACGGCCAACCAATTTATTTGACTGCATTCATGTTGCTCCAAAGACCACCATCCAACAGAAAAACAATAAATAAATCACCTAAAACAGATCCCGGATTAGAAAACAAGACTGTCAAGAATTGCAAAAAGTGAATGCCCTTTCTTCCTTTATCAAGTTCCCAAAATTCTTTTATCATAAGCCAAGGATTGTATATTTTTCACAGTTATCGCACAACGTGCACTCTGATAGGTCAAAAATCTATTTTATATTTAACAATTATTCGCCGAAGGTGAGGTGAATATCGTCGAATAATCCCCGAGACGAAGTCGAGGGGATTATTCGACAATATTCTCGATAGAATCTACCAGCCATTTCGTTTATTATGATATCTATTAAATTTCAGAGCTGAACAACAGAGAAATCCTCTCACGTCATTTTTCTAGTTCTTCAAAAAACATTTATCTTGAGAATGACCAGAACTCAGATATTCAAAAAGGTTGAATCTTTCTACCTTTCTGTTGACCACCTTTTACATCATCAGCACGCTTTGCGTTCCTTTTCAGCCATATCTGTATTGCCTGATAGACGAGACCACCTGTGACCAAACTGATCACAGCAAAACCAGTGAATTTTAAAGTTTTCTGATAAAGAAAATTTCTTGGATCAAAAAATTTAATCGCTTCCATGGTAGGTATGGCTTCTGTAGAATGATCGAAAGTTCCCTACAACAAAAGAAAGCAAAACTCATTCAAAGGGTTTCCAAAGAGTACAATTTTAGACGAAGGTATGATCTATGGAACACTTCCATGGAGAACCATTTTCAATTCAATCAACTGCATTTCTACGTTACGACATTCCCTGTATTCTTTGTACGGTGGAACTTCGATTTAAAGAAATGCAAAGAGAGTGGGGAAATTGGTACATTATATCGAGGGCTCGTTACATAGTGGAACCTCGATTTAACGAACCTCTATATAACAAAGTCCTCAGCATAACGAAAGATACTTCAGTTTCAGCCCGGCTAAAGTTACAGCAAAATATATGCCACGGAACCTCGATATAACGAACCAATTTCCCCAGTCTCTTTGCACTTCGTTAAATCGAGGTTCCACTGTATCGAGGTTCTGTGGCATACACTTTACTGTAACTTTAACCGGGCTGAAACTGAAGTACCGTTCGTTATACCGAGGACTTCGCTATATAGAGGTTCGTTAAATCGAGGTTCCACTGTATCATCATCTAAGAAAATTCTGTTCACTTTCCAAATATATTTAAGGAAACTACATGGTCAAAGTCTTAAGCACTTTGACTAATTTTAGCCAGTTTTCAAGGCAGCAATTGTCTTACCTGGTCTACTTTTGGCTTTTGTAGTCTATTCTCTATCGGCATGGTCTTCAAGTATTTCTTGAACGCTTCAAGATAATGTCTTGCTTCTCCATTTAATTTAATTCCGTAATAAAACCTGTTTGAAAGAATTTTATAAACTCTAAAGTGAGGATCGTCCAAGTCCCTCATGAAAGAGTTCACAGACATGAAGTCCACTAAAGCACCATCCAATGCTTTCGATTTAAGGCCAGGTAGCAGAGTATCTGTTGCGTAGTAAAGTGCCCCTGAAATTTAAATAGATTTTACTACTGCAACCTTGTTTGGGAGTTTGTAAATGAAAGGAATGCTTTATGATTAATTTTGTCAAAACAATTGTGTTACCTTTGCTTCCATTGATTCTCACAGCATAACGATGTTCTAGCGAACCGTTAATCACGCCAATCTGAAAAATTCAATTTATTAGAAGGGAGTAGTTAAAGTCCCAATGGGATAACCTTTTTTTTTCGATTAGTGACACAAGCCTAGTTTTGATGCGAACTTTATTATTGGTTGATTCTGCCTTTCCATCTACCTATTTTCCAATTAAATCACTTACTGGCTATTTATTTTTGAATAATAAACTGAATTACGCACGTGTCATTTTGATTGGTTGTTACTCGTGATCTATTGAAGGACAGACCCATATATGATGTCATCATTGACAGTTTGTTGCTACTTTCTTGTATAAAACAAATAGATACCCTGTTGCTATAGGTATATTCAGAAATGAATCACAGAAGACTTCAAACCATGGTATGAATAACAGGGACACACGCGGTTGCTATTTGTGTGCCACTTTTTTTCTTACCACATTTTGACGTAGTTGATGATCCACTAGTTAAAAGACGCACGCTATCAAAGAATACATTTGTTCAATTCATCGATCATCGATTTTTCCCTTTATCGTGGACTAAGAGATGATGAGGTGTTAGACTCATTTTGAAAAAATTTTCCTTTCTGAGTTCAGTTGGGCTCGAAAATACCATCCTTTTCTTTTCACCGAGTAGAGACTAGCAAACACCAGCCTTTGTAACCTGCCAGCCTTGATAACCCATCCCATTTTTCTGCAAATCGGACTGGCATTGAAGCACAGGTTTCACTTATTAGATGTACTTTATATTTCCGTTTTCACAAAGAAGTGACTCTGCGCAGATAGTTAATGAACAATCATCTTTATGACAAGATGAATAAAGATGCATCAATGAAGTAAGCGTAAGTTCGTTAAGACCTTCAATGAAGTAACAAACTGAACTAAAGGAATAAACTGACTAAAGTTGTACTAACCGCTTTTCCCTTCTCAGGATTAGTTAACGCATTAACTGTAGAAACCGTCAGCGATGACGTCAAAGCTGATACAAATAAAGCGCTGATGACGACATCGATAAGGATGCAGACAATACTTAGAAGTCTTCCAGGCCCTGATATTGCATGGCGATCACCATACCTGTATTATTGAAAGAATTTAACTCACTTTTGATGAAGAATAAACGAGTGATTAGATCAGTTAATAGGCGAATAGCGGATTGAGTGGGCTAATCAACGGACGGATCTAATGGCCATAAGCTTAAGCGATCGTGCGCTTCTAGTATTAATCCAAACCTCTGACAATCATTTAATACTATTTTGAAGGTCTTAGTTATGCTTTGAGTTCCTTAAGTTATAAATTATTGACGAGGAAAATCTAACTCTATAGTTATGTTGTCTATACCATTCATCCAACATAAGATAAAAAAAAAAAGAAAAAAATAACCAATTGCATAAGACGTTGAAATATTTATAAGCGTATAGGTAAAAAAAAACTTACCATCTTTCTTATTCTTTGGGTAATTTTGGTGTTTTAGCCCAGAAAATAGTGTTCATTCTACCCCCTTCCTGTTTGGATTAGATGCGACTAGCATTGTTTCTAAGACACCAATATCGCTATTGACGCATTCCTTAACACTATAAACATCTCAAATCATAGTTTAGGAGTCCTTCTTTTGACAATAGTGTTGGTTTGCATGAGTATGGTGAGAACTGTTTNAACGAAGTCCTCGGTATAACGAACGATACTTCAGTTTCAGCCCGGTTAAAGTTACAGCAAAACATATGCCCCGGAACCTCGATATAACGAACCAATTTCCCCAGTCTCTTTGCACTTCGTTAAATCGAGGTTCCACTGTATCGAGGTTCTGTGGCATACATTTTACTGTAACTTTAGCCGGGCTGAAACTGAAGTATCGTTCGTTATACCGAGGACTTCGTTATATAGAGGTTCGTTAAATCGAGGTTCCACTGTATCATCATCGAAGAAAATTCTGTTCACTTTCCAAAATATATTTAAGGAAACAACATGGTCAAAGTCTTGAGCACTTTGACTAATTTTAACCAGTTTTCAAAGCAGCAATTGTCTTACCTGGTCTACTTTTGGCTTTTGTAGTCTATTCTCTATCCGCATGGTCTTCAAGTATTCCTTGAACGCTCCGAGATAATGTCTTGCTTCTCCATTTAATTTAATTCCGTAATAAAACCTGTTTGGAACAATTTTATAAAGTGTAAAGTGAGGATCGTCCAAGTCCCTCATGAAAGAGTTCACAGACATAAAGTCCACTAAAGCACCATCCAATACTTTTGATTTAAGGCCAGGTAGCAGAGCATCTGTTGCGTAGTAAAGTGTCCCTGAAATTTAAATAAACTTTTGTAACCTTGTTTAGGAGTTTGTAAATGAAAGGAATGCTTTATGATTAATTTGGTCAAAACAATTGTGTTACCTTTGCTTCCATTGATTCTCAGAGCATAACGATGTTCAAGCGAACCGTTAATCACGCCAATCTGAAAAATTCAATTTATTAGAAGGGAGTAGTTAAAGTCCCAGTGGTACAACCTTTTTTTTCGATTAGTGACACAAGCTTAGTTCTGATGAAAACTTTAGCATTGGTTGATTCTGTCTTTCCATCCACCTATTTTTTCCAATTAAATCACTTACTGGCCATTTATTTTTTAATTATAAGCTGAATTACGCACGCGTCATTTTGATTGGTTGTTACTCATGGTCTATTGAAGGACAGACCCATATATGACGTCATCATTGACAGTTTGTTGCTGCTTTCTTATATAAAACAAATAGATTCGGTATTGCAGTAGGTGTGTTCAGTAATGAATCACAGAAGACTTCAAAACACGGTATGAATAACAGGGACACACCCGGCTGTTATTCGTGCGCCACTGTTTTTCTTACCACATTTTGACGTAGTCGGGGATCCCCTACTGAAAAGACGCACGGTAACATAGAATATTCATATATTTCTTCAATTCATCGATCATCAATTTTTCCCTTATTCGTGGACTTAGTGATGATGAAGTGTTAGACTCATTTTAAAAAGTTTTCCTTTCTGAGTTTAGCTGGGGTCGAAAATGCCATCACTTTGTTTTCACTAAGTAGAGACTGGCAAACACCAGCCTTTGTAACCTGCCAGCCTTGGTAACCGGTCCAATTTTTCGCAAATCGGCTTAGCATTGAAGCAAGGGTTTCACTTATTAACTGTACTTTATATTTCCGTCTTCACGAAGACGTGACGCATACGCAGATAGTTAATGAACAATAATCTTCGTACTTGATGACAAGATGCATGAAGTATGCCTGATAAGGTTGCCGTAAGTTCATTAAGACCGTCGATGAAGTAACAAACCGAACTAAAGAAATAAGCTGACAAAAGTTGTACTAACCGCTTTTCCCCTCTCAGGATTAGTTATCGTATTAACTGTAAAAACCGTCACCAATGATGTCAATTCTGATACAAATAATGCGCTGATGACGGCACCCACAACGAAACAGATAATACCCAGAAGTCTTCCAGGCACTGATATTGGATGAAGATCACCATACCTGTGTTATTGAAAGAATTTAACACACTTTTAATGAAGAATAAACAAGTAATTAAATCCATAAAATAGGCGAATGGCTGAATGAATGGGCTTAGCAATGAACGGATCTGATTGCCATAAGCTTTGCCCCGTAGCGCGCTTCAAGCTGCAATCCAATCCTATTACATCCTTTTAATACTATTTTGAAGGTCTTAATTCTACTTTGAGTTCCTTAAATTATAAATTATGAACAAGGAAAATTTAACTCTGTAGTTATTTAGTCTATACCATTCATCCACCACATGATAAAAAAAGAAAAAAAATTACCAGGTGCATTAGACATTGAAATATGTATAAGGGTATAAGTAATTTTGGTGTCTTGAGCCCAGAAAATAGACTTACGTTGTTTCTAAGATACAAATAATGCTATTGACGCATTCCTTAACACTATAAACGTCTCAAATCATGCGTTAGGAGTCCTTCTTTTAAAAATTGTGCTGGTTTGCACGAGTATGATAAGTGTTTGGGGCACTTTTGTAACCGTTTGATTTTAGGCTACCTGACAGAGAATGCCCCATGTGAATATTAACTGAGAGAATTTATCCCTATGACCCATGAGAAATTTTTTAAGTCTATTTTAAATTTAGATCAGGTTATGTTCTCTTGGTGCCCCTTGATCATCAGCTTTTATTTCCTATTACTTACCCAACAGTCGTCATGGAAACAAAAGACCACCACACTCCTTCCCTCCAGCCTCGCGTAAAACGCGGCGGAAAATGTTTAGCATTTAAGTACATCTCCTACATGGAGAATAACGTGGTTGGGATAAGAGGGAGACAGGTTTTTTAAATCGGACGATTGGTAAACAATTGGTGAAAGATTGGTGGAAGACTGGTGAAAAGATTACAGATTTCAGGCTAAAACTGGCCCTAAGGAGAACTTTCTGTCAAGCATCTGCAACACTTCAGGCAGAATTCAGCTTTTGACTGACTAGTCTTGCCTCTGAGAAAGAGAAATTTACCGAGGTTGTAATCCTCTGTTTGGTTTTCTCTAACAATGATGAATTTGGAGTGTTTTTGAAAATCGGTAATGTATCACCATTCTGCTAAATTAACCTTTCAACCTTGACGTAACGTTCTTGTCGTTCCTAATCGTGTTG